GTGTGTGTGTGTGTGTGTGTGTGTGTTCCACCTCCCACTCTCTCCCCATCTGCTCTGAGTATTTTTGTTTTTGGTTTTTCAGGTTTACGTTTACAACAGAGAGGAATTGATTTATCAACAGCCTGAAACTGTTGCCAGTTTTTCTTATAGTTAAAAAAAAGAATTGCAGTCTCATTGATGGCTCTCTCCCTCCTTTCCCCTCCCAACCTGCTAATCACTCGTCATGCCTGTGTATCCCGGGCTGCTGTCCCCACCTGGCCAGGGATGAGGAGAGAGCCCGGGCAGCTTTCCTCTCAGTCACTGTTCACCCTACTTGAAAATTAAAACAAGAAAACTTTGCTTAAAAGATTTCAGCTGTGGGAACCACAATCCCTGGTTGCCTTTCTCCTGTGTATGTGTAAATTCCTTAATAAATATTGCAGGGAAGCACCGTTTGCTTGCTGTTACTGTGTGTCACTCTTGGAGGAGGGTGAGTTCCACCCACATTTTCGCTTTCGGGGGCCAGTTCCCTCATTTCCTGTGTGGGGCAAACCCAAGGGCCAGGCCCAGGCCCAGGCCATCAGAAAGGGGGCCTTTATCCAGCAGTGTCTAGAGCTGTGAGCTGAGGAAACCGTGGGCGTCTGCACCTGCTAGAGTCACAGAACATTGGAACTAGAAGCATTTCCCCCTTTCCTGCCTCCCTGCCTCCCTTTGAATACACCTTGTGAATACTTCCAGATGTGAGAGGATAGCACAGTGGCTAAGAAAGGAAGCTTGGATCAAGCTGCCAATATTCATATCCCTGCTTACTGTGTGACCTGGGCAAGCAATAAAGCCCATGTCTCAGTGTGAAATGGGCTAATGGTAATACTTAGGTAAAAGGAAGCAGTTCCTGTGGTGCATGTAGCACAGTATCGAGCACTCATCACTCAAGTGTTAGCAAGTATCAGACCTATGTTAGGCATTCATTCATTCAACAAATGTTTAGTGTTTACAATGTGCCAAACAGTGGCTTAGGCTCTGAAATAAAGTAATGAATCAAAACCCCCCAATCTCATAGGGTAGTGTGGTAGGAGAGGTGGACAATAAAGTAAAATGATTTCATTTCAAACATAATACAAGGTAAGTTAAGGGGGAAAAGTGGGTATGGGACCATTTGAATAGAGAAGTCAGGAGGAGGTGCCATTTGAACTGAGGCCTGAATAAGCAGCCAGTTATGTGAGGATCTGGAGAAGGAGCCGACAGAACAAGGGTCAATGTCTCCCCTGGAAGTTGTTTGGCTGGAGTGTCGGTCTGGGAGCTGTTACAGATTGATGGTATGGAAAGGCTTGAGACTGGGGCTGTCACCTAAGAAAGCCCCATGAGACGAGAACTGAGCCCCATGAGACGAGAACTGAGCCTGGGGCCCATTGGCTTCTAGAATTTGGAAAAAAAGAGATCAGAAAAAAGGAATTTGACATAGTCCCCACTCTTCAGCTCACAGTCTCATGGGGCAACAGACTTGGAGGAGAGGTAGTAGTTAACCAGTGGGTGGGGAGAAGAGTATTACAGACAGATAGTAGGGTGTAAACAGAGAGAGCCCTACAAGAGCACAGAACATTCGGGGAAGCACAGCAGTTCGATGTTTCTAAGGTATGTGAATTGGGTGGTAAGAGGTAAGATTGAGGGGGGTTGGGCCAGGTGACAGGGGCTTCCTATACCCTAGGAAGGGGTTTAGCTTGAAGTGTTGTAAACAGTGTAGAGACATAGTCAGATTTGAGTTTTAGGCAGCTACTGAGAACAATGTGTTTGAGGGAATAAGACCAGATCTAGGGGACAGAGAAAGGGTAAGAGCTGAACTAGGGCCATGGTAGAAGGGGTAGGGGAGAATGGAGTGGCAGAGAGCAGCAATCCATGAACTGCTTATGAGGTATGTGAGATGCTCAAAGGTGTTTCATAACAACGCTGAAAGGAGTTTGGGAAAGATTGCATATTATGACACCTCTTGTGCATCTGGAATATAACATCCCAATAGTAATGGCTCTGGAAAGTCTTGTGGTAAAGACTTTTTACAAAATCAATTCTTTTTTAGAGCAGTTTTAGGTTAACAAATCTGAGTGGAAGGTACAGAGATTCCCCATATACCTGCTGCCCCCTCCCCAACCTCCTCCTCTTTTGACCTCGCACCGGAGAGGTACATTTGTTAAAACTGATGAGCCTACACTGACACAACACTATCACCACCAATTCATAACTTACATCAGGGTTCACTCTTGGCGTACATTCTATGGGGTTTGACAAATATATAGTAACACGAACTCAACATTATAGAATCACACAGATTAGTTTCACCATCCTGAAGATCCTGTGTGGTCTACCTATTCATCCCTCCCTCCTGACTCCAGGCAACCACAGGTTTTTTTTGTTTGTTTGTTTTGTTTTACTGTCTCCATAGTTGCACCTTTTTCAGAATGTCATAGTTGGAATCATACTACATACAGCATTTTCAGATTGGCTTATTTCCCTTAACAATATGTATTTAAGTTTCCTCCATGTCTTGATAGCTCGTATACTTTACAACTGAATAATATTCCATCGTCTGGATATACTACCATTTATTCACTTACTGAAGGACATCTTTGTTGCTTCCAAAGTTCTGGCAATTATAAGTAAAGTTACTATGGGAAAGAGGATGGGACAGATTACCAGGGAGAACCAACAACTTAGGTAATGCTTTATTTCTTAAACTACAGGTAAATAAGCAGGTGATAGTTATATGGATCTTTATACTTTTTAGCATGTCTTAAAATGCTGCTTTACTGGTATATAGTAGTGAATTAATATAACAAGGATTAGAAAATATAAACTGCTGAAAAAATAATTTTAAAAATAATAATAAAATAAGTAAAGTTACTATAAACATTTGTGTGCAGGTTTTTGTGTGGACATAAATTTCTAATTCATTTGGGTAAGTACCATGGAGTGTGATGACTGGATTGTATGATAAGAGTATGTTTAGGGTTTTTTTCATTGTTGGGTTTGTTTGTTTTTTATTGTTGTTGTTAATTCTCACTGGAGGACATTTTTTCCATTGATTGATTTTTAGAGTGGAAGGAAGGAGGGGAAGGGGAGGAAGAGAGAAAGAGAGAGAGGTGAGAGAGACACATTTATTGGTTGCCTCCTGTACACGCCAGGGGTAGGGATTGAACGTGCAACCCAGGTACATGCCCTTGACCAGGAATCGAACAAGAGAATCTGCCCTTCTGTTTGAGAGCCTATGTTCTAACCATTGAGCACACCGTCCAGGGCGAGTATGTTTAGTTTTATAAGAAACTAGTGGCCTAGTGCATGAATTCATGCACATTGAAAGGAAATTAATTACAAGAAATATTTTAATATCACTATTCGCCCTTTCTCTATAATAGAAGTGTCGACCAAATTCACGATGGACAATGACAGGTGGAAACACACGCGTGTGGGTGGAGCGCTGCATTGTGGGAGTCCTGGTTTGCTAGCGAACGGGGCGCAGCGGCCCCCAGGACTTGGAGCTATGGGACTGCGGCCCCAAGAGGGAAGTCGCCCAAGTGTGTAGTGTCTACATCCTGAGCTCAAGTCTTCTGACTCTTGGGACCAGTGCAGCCTGAGCTCCCAGCTCCTCCTCATGTGCTGGCCCGGGGTTAGCGTCGACCAGGAGTGACTGTGCTTGTCCGGGGTTAGCGTCAACCAGGAGTGACTGCTAGTCCGGCTCTGTGTTGACCAGGAGTGATGTCACAGTTGGTCCGGCATGAACTGGGAGGTGACCTCACTTTTAAACATGGATGTCTTGAGGTTTTTTTCTTTCTCCTGATTGTAGAAATTCAGAATGAGAAAAAGTAGACTCAAGCAGGAATCATAATAGGAGTTAATATTTGCCTTTAAGTTAATACATGCACATGTGCACGGCCTCACCAGGACGTGGAGGGACCAGGCCCCCTTGGAGGGGCCTACAACCAGCCTCCGATCGGCCCCTTGTCTTGCAAAACCCACGCCTTTAAAGTCACCCACGGTTTCACATTTTGGTTTCTTTACAGTGGATTGCAATCTTATGAGAGCATCTACATACAAAATCTTCCCAGATTTGCATGCTTTTCTTTCCTAATCTTTACATTTGTGTTGCCAACAAGCGGGTTTTTCTTTTCCAACCAAAACTTGAAAATGCATGGAAGGCATTCACCTTGGTTTTCATGGACACAGTCTTCTGTACAGAGTCACACTTCATAAGTGTCGTGTTTAAGTCAGTTATCTACCGTGACATCAGGTGCAGCTGAGGCTGGGGTGTAAACACGCCTGAGCCCCGGGAGGCAGTGGGTCGGTGCTGGGAGCAGAGGTTCAAGGGCAGCGCAGAGGTGCCTGCTAGGAACAGCTGTGGGAGAAGAGTGTGTCACGTGTCATGTGAAACCTTGAAGCAGG